TATTATATTTAATGTATTTCTTCAAGAGTGAATATTTCATTGCGTCTATGACCCTACTGCCTTGGCGGAGGTATGCGCTCTGAGTGATTCTAGTAATCCTTGTTATTATCATTATCATGATGATCATAACAATCATCATATCTTGTTGGCAAGGTGGAAGGGTAAAAGAGATAGATAGATAGATAGATAGATAGATAGAGAGAAAGAACGAGCGAGAGAGAGAGCGAGAGAAAGAAAGAACGAGCGAGAGAAAGAGAGAGAAGGAGGAAGAAAAGGAGGAGGAGGAGGAGGAGGGAGAGGGAGAGGAGGAGGAGGAGGAGAGAGAGAGAGAGAGAGAGAGAGAGAGAGAGAGAGAGAGAGAGAGAGAGAGAGAGAGAGAAGAGAGAGAGAGAAAGAGAGAAAGAGAAAGAGAAAGAGAAAGAGAAAGAGAAAGAGAAAGAGAAGGAGAGAAGGAGAGAAGGGAGAGAAGGAGAGAAAGAGAGAGAAGGAGAGAAGGAGAGAAGGAGAGAAAGAGAGAAGGGAGAAAGGAGAGAAGGAGAGAAGGAGAGAAGGAGAGAGAGAGAAGAGAAAGAGAGAGAGAAAAGAGAGAGAGTAGAGAAGGAGAGAAGGAGAGAAGGAGAGAAGGAGAGAAGAGAGAGGAGAGAAGGAGAGAAGGAGAGAAGGAGAGAAAGAGAGAAAGAGAGAAAGAGAGAAAGAGAGAAAGAGAGAAAGAGATTGAGAAAGAGAAAGAGAAAGAGAAAGAGAAAGAGAAAGAGAAAGAGAAAGAGAAAGAGAAAGAGAAAGAGAAAAGAGAAAGAGAGAAAGAGAAAGAGAAGAGAAAGTGAGAAAGAGAAAGAGAAAGAAAGAGAAAGAGAAAGAAAGAGAAAGAGAGAGGGAGGGAGAGAGGGCTGGGATGCCATTCTCTCTCTCCCTTTTGCTAACGTCCTTCCTCCTTCCTCCTCGGCCTGTGAGAAGGAGAAGCCGAGGCGGCCTCCGCTTACCTCCGACTGCCCCCGGCTTGGCCTTGTCGGCCGACGCGGCGGCGTCGATGGCGGTGGACGCCGACAGCTGGCAGACGTCCATGGCGTCGAGGCCGAGCGGGCTGTTGCAGTCTGCGGAAGGAAAGGAAACCAAGTTGTGGGCGCTGCGTCCTCGGGCGCGTCGCGGGCGCGTTGTGCGGGTTTGAGTTGAAATGCACATCATTATATGCTTATGTTATGTTTGTTTTATTTATTATTTACTGCATGACTGGCATCACAAAATTGGACGTATTGCATTTTCTTAACAAAAGTTATCATTGTTTTATGATATATTATTCAAAATATCTGTTCCTTTTTGTCTTCGCCCCCCCCCTCCTCTCACTCCCTCCTCCTGCCCCTCCCCGCCCACCCTTTCTCAAACCCCCTCCCCTCGCTCTTCTCTTCCTCGCGCCCCTACCCCCCCCCCCTCACAACGAGGCCTCACCGGAGCCGTCGATCTGGTACTGCACGAAGGAGGTGTTCCCGCAGTACTTCATGGTCCCGGGTAGCGAGTTGGTCTCGCAGGCGAGCCTGAGGATGGTGGTGGCGTTGACGAGGCCCAGGCCCTTCGGCAGGATCTTGTCGGGGTCGATCGTCACCGTGAAGTTCACCTCCAGGATGTCCGTGAAGAAGAGGTAGTCGAACTGCGGCGCAACGAGGCAGGTCAGTACATCCTTCTATTCCAGGATTTGAATCGTCATTAAGCTCATCATTATCTCGATGACAACAGCAGAAAGGCTGTCATCACCGTTATTATCACAATCATCGTTATCATCATTATCATCCCAATCATCACGACTCAGCTGTCCCTCCGACATGAGGCGCGACGCACATCGAAGTCGATGTAGTGGTTGGTGGTGAGGTTCCCGGTGATGTTGGGCGTCCACGTGTCCGAGAGGTTGACCCACGACACGTACTTGGGCAGGAACACGCGCAGGATGGCGTTGTTGGCCTCCTCCGAGGACACGTTCATCTCGTGGCTCAGGCGCGCCGTCAGGGACACCTGCTGGCTGCGGGAGAGAGGAAGAGGTCAGTGGGGGATGGGGAGGTGGTCAGTGGGGGTAGGGGGGAGGGGGAGGGGTCAGTGGGGGTGGGGGGAGGGAGAGGAGGTCAGTGGGGGTGGGGGAGGGAGAGGAGGTCAGTGGGGTGGGGGGAGGGAGAGAGGTCAGTGGGGGTGGGGGGAGGGAGAGGAGGTCAGTGGGGGTGGGGGAGGGAGAGGAGGTCAAGGGGAGGAGGTCAGTGGGGGTGGGGGGAGGGAGAGGAGGTCGTGGGGGTGGGGGGAGTTCAGTGGGGTGGGGGGAGGAGAGGAGGTCAGTGGGGGTGGGGGGAGGAGACGGAGGTCAGTGGGGGTGGGGAGGGAGAGGAGGTCGTTGGGGGGGAGGGAGAGGCAGGTCAGTGGGTGGGGGAGGGAGAGGAGGTCAGTGGGAGGGAGAGGAGGGAGGGGAGGAAGGAGGGAGAGGAGGTCAATCAGATCAGTGGGGTGGGGGGAGGGAGGGAGTAGA